AAGTATTTTTTGATTTTTGTGACGTGTTGTATAATATTTATACTATACATATTTTTGTAAATACATGTATGTGCAACAAGAATAAGAAAAATATGAAAACATTTAAATCTGTTTCTATCGATGTTTTCTCTGCGTAGTAAAGTTTAAACGTTTCTATCTTTGTTATTGAGGTTTCCAATGTCCATATACCATCCTTACAAAAACAACAAAATTAAAAACAACAGCAATATAATAAATAAGACACACCTACTTAAATTAGCATACACCGTGTGAAACAATCATCCACTGATGGCACCTGTATCATATTGTGGACATAAGAGCAGTTCTTAAACCAGTCTGAAGACTTTATATTTTGAATAATATAATAATTTGATAGAATATATTATTAAAATGTCGTTGATATTGACAGACGTCACCAACATTTCTTAAAACGAAAGTTGTAATTCATGTAGTGAGTGGGAGCACGGACTTAAATTAAAGTCCGTGGTGGGAAAATGCGCCTCTTGTTGCTTTTGGAAAAATGTATGGTCACTTTATCGTCCTGCAAATCATTTTTTCCTCGACTATTTAAAGATATCTATAAAATGTTAAGGAATTAGATGCCTAAAATGCAGACCTCCTTTCTGAGGAAAATATATTTTTCATTGAGGAGAGATATTTTACATGGGGTGTGGATTCAAACCCAAATGGAAACTTCGATTTGTTTTCTCTCTGTCTTTGTCAGATTATGGTTTACTTTTATATTGCTTTTGTAAAAACTATATTAGGATTTTTTTTCAGTCGTATATTTACTTTTTAGTGTGAAATGAATAAGACGTCGGTTAGATTTATAACTTAGAATTATAATGTTTCAAAAACTGCATTCAATTGTTGCACGGTCAGAATTCTGCCTAGATTATCATTACTGAAGATATTACGATGCCACAATGATAGATGACAAAAAGACTCATCCTCTTTCTATTTGTTCAAAGCTGACAAACAACGTTATTTATTCCAAAGTACCACTTCTTGGGTAAAGATGAAAAAATTGAAAAAAAGTTCAACTGATGAAACCAACTTGGTCGTTCTATATTACTGATACACATGTCATTTTTAGATAAAAAATGTCTTGGACGGACAAGAATATTTTAAGTTTAACAATTTAGTCTTTAAATGACTTTAGAAACAGTGTCAATAATATATCTAATACATTAAGAAAACACATGTCATAATATTTGGTTGGTAAATGAATTAGTATCTTCATTAATTGATTTTCTAAACTACTGCAAAACCTAGTTTTTTGTTTCTTCTCCGATTACTGTCCAAATGACAACCGGTCCCTTCGTCCGAAAACATTTACAGTAAACATGCTATATAAAAAGCGTCGTGGCAATTTAAAAAATATATTTATACATATGTGGTGGTGTATTGCATAACTGAACTATACAAGTTTTATCAATTACATAACGAAAAACATAAATAGAATTAAATGTAACATTTATTAAATAGCTTCTTCATAAATAATATGCAGTTGGAACAAATAAAATAAAAAAATCAAATAAATGTAACATTAAAGGGTTGGATTAATCTAATCTAAAAATAAATAATTTACATTTCAACTGATGATAAATCTAGTTGCAAACTATAGAACCCTTATGTTGATATACAAACTGAAACCCTGAAAATGATAAAAGGTACCTGCATGCTTTATAGCTCACTTTTAATTCAAGTTGTCGTTATTAGATCTCATTTATTTTACTATTAGTGTTAATCAATGTTTGCCAATTTTATTATACCTTTTTTCAAAACAAATCTTGTTTGTACTGCAGTCATGTGACACCGTTCTGTAGTAGATAATTTTCAGGAAGAAATGCCATGTTTTGTTTTTGTTACAAATTCATTTGAAATTAAATATTCTGGTACATAAATGTTCATTTTTATACCATTCCTTACACAATATTTACATGGATTAATTTATACATACTATAAAGACATTGACTTTTTGAATTATTTATAAGTATATGCGTAATACTTAACTAATTAGTTTCAAATAAATTAAAAATAGTAACAAGTGTGTATGTTAAATCGACTATAAACAGTAATTCGTCAAAAAATTTCTGGCGCCAGGGTAGATTAGATTTTATTTTCGGCTAGTTTTTTGTTTCTTAGATTTGAATGTGACCCAGTGACACATTGATCAATGTGAAAATGATACGGGCTACAGCGAATTCTGGGATTATAAAAAAAAGCTTAGTTAGCCCAAGGTTAGTCTGAGTGCATGCATACAATATTAATAAATATCTGAACAATCGGTTTACTTTGACATGAGATGAAGGAAGGTAACCTTACAACGACCATATACAGTAACAGACTAAAACAGTACATTTAGACAGAGACTTATATTACAAATAAAAGCTCTGTGATCTAGACAGTTTCTAGATTTTTTAAAATTTCGAAATACGTATATAAATTTCGACAAAAAGTTTGTACCTTGGACAAAGACAATTACATAGTGACCCTAAAATATGTCATGTAAAAAGGTATCTTCTAAATATATATCAATAGTGTGTAGTTATTTTATATTCAATGATTGTCTTTAAAATAATAAAATTCCCCAATACTAGTTCCCAAAATAATGTTTTAGCAACAAAGGCTAGTAAATAATAACAATAAAGAGAGTAATAATAATAATAATAATAATAATAATAATAATAATAATAATAATAATAATAATAATAATAATAATAATAATAATAATAATAATAATAACAACTTTATTTTGAGATGGTGACAAACATAAAATATTGAGTAAGAAACAAACATAATTTTATGACCATAGAACGGATTCGCATGTTTATTAACTTCCGTTTATTTTCGTTCAATTTGACTGACATTGATAAAAATTTTAAAAGAAATAAAAAGCCGCAATGTATTTTCAATCATTTTATATCTACATGTACGAGTATGTTATAAAAATAATAATATAAAAACCAGATAATTTGTATGCTACTGTTAATAATTGTTATTTTTTCCCCTGTTTATTTTTTTATATTTTTTTTCATCTCTCCTTGTGGTTATTAAGATATTTACTCGTGTAAGAGGAAAATTTGGTCGCCAGAAGATGCTGAAATGCAGACTTTTTCCGCAAAATAATACAAAATAATATGATGGTTCAATTTGATAAAGTAGGTTTGACATATTCCAAAAGTATGCTTCTACTTAAACATTTTCACTTATAATCATAACAGATAAGATCAAAATACATGTTTGTTAAAGATGATAACAAGAAAATTATTTCTTTTTACAAAATAAAAATTAAAAAATGAATAAAAAAATAAAATAAAAACATATAAGCAGGTTAGATATGAAACTGCATGTGTTTTTTTCAACGTTTTTTTATATTTTGTATGCAACATTTTATTTGTAATAATAAACAATTTAGATAATAGAGAATATTATTTTCGTTCATACCCTGTGTTTTACTTATATTTAATATTTATCAAATAGAAAACAAAAATAATAATAAGTATAGAAAAATAGACGCGAAATTTGCATTGAGTTTTATAAAACCCAAATAAAAAACAACAAATAACTTTTTGGGGGTTGATATTAAAATTAGGAATTAAAAAAATATATATATATGGTTCCATTGTTGAAATCTATGTCTTCATGTATCTGAAATCAATGTAATAAAAGCCATACCAAAAGCAATCTTTTTTGTAAATTTTTTGGTGAAATAATTCGTTGAAGAATTTAAATTTGGCCGAATAGTTGTTATTAGTTTGAGAGAATTACTAAATTATTTAATAAACAAAACTGATTAAAAATATATAGGTCCGACCGTTGCTGTTATGGAATAAATATTTTAATATTTTTATTCCAGTTTTTTTTATTTTCTGAAGTTTTAGTTCGTTTTAATGTAATAAATACAATAGTTGAGCGCGCATTTTATAATATATCTTTAAAATGAAAACGGCACATCATCCCTAAATTTACCTGGTTTTGTTGTTTTTGTTATTTTGAATATATTATGAAAATAAAACAAATCATAATTTACAGAAGAAGCGCACAATTTAAGATATATTTTGTTTGCTCTACACATTTTTATTTTTTTATTCTTTTTTTGCGATCATTTTTTTCTCTTTTAATTTCTCTTAAAATCGGAAATGTAACTTATATATAAAGAATGAACACATAAAAAATGAAAAAGAAGAATGTATGCTTTTTTTGATTTTTTTGAATTTGTCAATAAAGCTTAAAAAATAAAAAAAGAAAGAAAAAAGCACATTAATATGATGAAATAATGTTCATATTATGTCACAAAACAGGTGTAAATCATATTAATATTAGAATACTAATAGATTATATAAATTTATTATTTCTTTTTGTTGTATGAACAGTATTGTGAAAACAATAAAAATATATCACGGAAAAATATGAAATAACGATCCTTTTGGCACTCCTTTTGATATTTTTTATTCTAAAATTAATATGTTAATATTAATACTTATATTTTGTAATGAAATATATCATATATTCTTTATCATTTTCAGTTTTGTCGCTCCATTTCTTATACAATTGATCGGATGAAAAATAATAATTCGGCACATTTATTTGTCTCGTTGAATATATTGTCAGAATTTATTCATTTCACAATTCCGTATTTTGATATATCTTATACTTTATTAACACATATTTTTTTTATTTTGTTATTTTCATAATTCACACAACATGCGAGTTTTAAAAAATAATAATTCAGCGCGCGAGGTTCTAAATAGTGTGCGAGTATTACTAATATACTTGTTAATATTAAAATTTTATTTAAAAGTTACTTTGTTTTTTAAATTAACCATTTTTTTGCGTAAAGAAAACTTTATTCGGACGAAACATTTCAAGAAAAATAAACGATCGCGGGCGTAAAAGAAAAAAAAACACGAGAAAGAAAATGAATAAACAAGGATACTTTTTCCTCTACAGAAATATTTTTCACAACTAAAATCACTAAACTATATCAAACTCACCTAAATTTCAGAATTTTGTAAACTTGAAATATCTTTTTCTTCTCAAATATTTTTCTCCACAGAAGTCAACAGCCTCTCAGAAATCACTTGATAGAAACACTCAGCAATACACAATGCGCATCGTTTTAGTGGCGAAATTGCGGCAATTCTCTTCTAGTAATTCCAAATTAATCGTAATTTATTCTCATTTTATGTGCGATAATCACAAAATTCTAATAATGGTGTCAGCAACTCATAGCTAGTTGATTTATGACCGTACTTCAGTCTTAGCCAATGAAAATACAGTATTCCATATTGTCAACAGAAATAGTGTCATATGATCGCGCTTTAACTTGGCATCGTGGCAGGAAGGGGCGGAGCTTATGAGAAGAAATGAAGTGATTTTCAATTCATTTGTAGTTACACTTAAAGTTGTTGAATTGTTACATATTATACATTATTGCGTTGTAAATTGAAATTTTCTTTCTTTTGTCCGCGCTTGTTGGAAAAACATGTGCATTACTTTTTAATTGCTTTCAATTAAAAATTAGAAAATTACCTAAAGTAATCGAAATTTCTAGCGTTCAATTTTACCAATTAACAGAAAAAATAAACCTGTATTTAGTGCGACTTGGTTTCATAATTTTTCAATTTTCTCGTAGCTTCCATTTTGTCGACACAATAAAATAATTCATTTAATTTTCAAACGTCAAATAAACAACTATGTATACAATATCCATCCGAATTATCTTTTCGTATTATCAAAGTTATTCTTTTTTATTAATATACTGTCATCACAATTATGTCTAAATTTTTATTTTTGATCCTGTTAAAAATCTTTTTATATATTACTGTAACGCCAATTATCCGTTTAACTGTATAATTTAAAAAAGAAACGTTTTGCACAATATTTCCACGTACACTCTATGATGTTCCCTTTTCAAATAATGGTCGACAAAATATACAAGTAAAAAATATAACTGCATGTGGTCCGAGGGTTTTTATGTTTTTATCTTAATACAGCGGCCATATTTGGACGTATTATGACGCAAAAAATGAATGGTTGTTTACTTTTGTTATTTTTATCTTAATACTAGCTTACAAAAGGAAGCATCGCTCAAGATAAGCGAATATTATATGATAATCAAAGTCGTTCACACTTTATTTTCTTGAGACATCATAATTGCAATTTGGGGGAAACATTATTACAATTCTTGTACGGACTACAATAGGTCATTATTAGGTTTATAAACAGATTACGGCGCGCGCATGCCGAGCGTCAAACAGCCCTAATTCGGAACACCACGGATATGACCGTTCACACATACCATTCGCTTTATGATCGCGGAACGTCATCACACTGCGAAAATAAAATAATCGTACAGTCTACTTTATACAAAAAGTCACCCTGAATACGGCTTAATTGGTGATAATCACGCAACTAAAAGAATAAAACAAAACTTCTTAACAGATTTTCAGGGTGGTTTCGAGATTTTAGCTGTTCGTATTAGAGAAAATTGGATGACAAGAACAGATAAAATTATTCCCGCTGTGACGATAAAAGTCAGAATTCTCGTCGTGTCTTGTTCGCGGCACGTGATATGTTTCACAAGGACACATTATGAAGAGCTTTCCACGGGTTTTTTTTTCTACTGAAGTAAACTGCAGGAGTGCATGCCACTTTTATGAACAGCTGAAAATAGAAAAGTTTATGTTATTATAAAACACTTTAACTATTGTACTGTGGTGTTATATTGAATGACAGATAGTATTTAACAATTTGATATTTCCAACAATTAAGTATATGTGGGAGTAGGTTAAATGTAGGAGTGAGTAAACTTAGAATATAGTTTAAATCACACATTACTTATATTTGTACGTTTCCATGCTTTATAACACATAAAATTATTTTCATGTATGAAAAAAAGCTGATGAAAAATAGTACCAGGTTTAATTTACATATATTTCATTGTTTTTCATTGACTTCCGTCTCTCGTGTGGTTTGGAAACTGACTGAAAATTTTCGGAGATTATAAAGCGCGAAAATAAACAAGTAGTAACAAAAAGTAAGAATATAAATGACTTATTAGTTTTTTAAAGGGGGAGAAGATGTGTAGTGTGTTGGATTTTACGTCGCACCAACACTGTAAAAGTCATATTGTGACTTTCAAGTTTTAGGCCAATGGGAGAGGAAGACGTTCAGGTGCCCTCGGCACGAGCGAGTACCTTAGTAGATCCAACGACGTTCCGTAAGCTAACTAGATAGCTTCCTCGGATGAATATAAATACATGTAAATACATGTTATTATTTATTTGAAAGTGTCCTTAAATGTTTATCATTCGGCTTTTTTTTATATAATAATCTTTAATGACATGAATGATAACGTGTCCGAGGTTTGTACTCTCAGTGCCTGAAAGGGCGGATAGACCCTCATTAAGCCTAGAACAAATACGTGTGCTTGAAAGAGTTTGTTATTTATGTATTTATGTGAAATTATGTAAGCGTATGAATGTGAATATATAACAGAAACCAGTCATATCAAAAATTGTGTATTAACAGCGCACGTTGGAACAAAAGGAGTAACTGACGTCACGGTTTCACCAGTCTCGTGACATTTAATATCGTCAAAATGGCGGCACTCTGGTATTTACTCTTTCGAAAAAATCTTGATGTGAAACTATTTTTCTCTCCTAGATATATGAATTCGACAAGAACTTCTTCATGCTGCCTATAAGGATAGTCTAAAAATGAAGTCGTTTAACCCTCCATTCATAACCGTACCTCCAAATAAACAGTCAACCTGAACTGTTGTGTATGACCTTGGAAGGAAAAGGCATTATGCCAATATTGTTAGGGCGGTCGTTTTAAGGTGGAACTGGTAAAAAAATGTCAATCGTCTTTTTGCTGTTTGGTAATTTTCTGAGCCCAAGCTAGATAATTATGAAGAAATTACAATACAACAATAACAACAATAACAATAACAGAAGCAGGGCATCGTCGTCCTCGTCATCGTCCTCGTCCTCGTCATCATCATCAACAACATCATCATCAACGACAACAACAACAACAACAACAACAACAACAACAACAACAACAACAAGCCAGTCAATGTTGTTATATTACATACATATAAAATACCATATGATTTGTCCGTATCTGTAAATATCGGTAAATACTATCCCGTACACACCAACTTTCTACATAGACTTTTAAATTACCAAATAGAATATGTTATAAATCATGAATTTGCATCTACTTAACTGTTTTAATTAATTTTCTGCATCACTAGTTAGTTGGAACAGGCGAAAAGTCGAATTTAGCATGTTTTCGCGTGGCGATTTTTCTCCCCGCTATTCGGAGATGACAAAGCGAAACATTAAATATTGCGTGTTTTTGTGTATTTGCGTGGTGTCTTTTCGTAGTTTCACCCACCATGCGCAAGGTTTCGCCAGTTCTCTTTCATATCCATATAATTATTAAATGTTACTACCACCTATTATCTGATTTTTCACAAAACACAAAGGTTTAGTTGGAACTTTTGTTGAGAAATGTAGGTTCTGGAGTAATAGTTTTTAGTTTAGGTCCTTAAAAGTTATTGACTTATGGATTAGAACAATGTTGTCAGGACCTATATTTCTGTATAGAAGACCATCATGTGAAGTATAACATATTTTTTTATTATCTTAACAAATATCATTAATATCCTCAATACCATGTCAAAAAACTTAGTGTAAAGATCGTACCCGAAAATAACGCCTGGTCTACATTACAGCCATATTTGCACGAACAGTCTCAACCGAGCCAGTATCTGATGATCTTCTATACAGAAATATAGCTGTTATGTCCTTATAACGTTGTTCTTATGAGTACCTAAAGTCAAATCGTAAGTAAGATATATTTTAACTTATTAAGTATTGTTGCGGCTGTTCCTCTTAATTTCCAGCGTTAAGACGTTGCTGTACGAAAAAGGTCAGAACAATTACTGGTAACTGCAAATGTACTTACATGTGAGGACATAAACCACGTGTACTTCTTAGAAAGTCTTTAACAATGTGATAAAACTATGTGATTACAGATCGTTTAAGATTGAAACAGTGTATTAATGTGTTATTGCTCATCCACAATGTCTTCTATAATTACGGGAATGAACACCTGTAAGGTCTCCGTTCGTTTTCTCTTCATGATTTTAGTAATTTCATCCGATTACATTAATATCAACTAGACATAAATGTGTGTACCTCAGATACTAAAAACACCATTTAATCTTCATATATTTAGTCCTTATCGTAAACTTTAACTGGTAACCTTTTCACTTGTAAAGGGTTTTCTTGGGAATATTGCAAAATAACAGAAATTCCCAACTAAAAAATACCAACAGTTTCGTCAATGTTTGAGCGTACCAAAATCTGGATGAGAATATAATAATATATAATCTATATAATAATGGGAAAGAAGTCTACTACAATAAATAATAATGTTGATAGTATTCAACATCATACGTGAAAACAAACCACACAAGAAGCATACATGGTTTGATACACGATCTGATAAAATATTCATATACAGCAGATAAAAAAGTGTTCTAGAACACAATTTTATTATTCATCATATATGTGTCCATACTAAATCACTTTAGAACACTATCAACATTTTGGTTTCCAGAAATATTTCATTAAGAATATCCGAAGAATACATGTCTATTGTTGGTATGTTCTTTTTGCCCTACGTAGATTGCGCATGCTTGAGAAAATACTACTTCCGGACATTTTTTTTCATAGTAACGGACCACGTCGTAAAAAGGTCTATATTTGAATTACGTTTGGAAAATGTGCCCATTGTAGACCAATCGACTTTATCAACCTACATTTCAGTCTATTGTTATTTATAATAAATATATTAAATATATTGCAATGAAAAGTCGAAATACGTTAAAATGTACAAGTGTAATTGTCAAAACAAGACTGTTTTTATTTTAGTACTATCGGAACCCATCGGTTTATTTCCTAAATATCGCTAAAATGTTGCTATTGAGTTACTGTAATAAGTCGTTCTTAGACGCTCATAGAGTTCATAACGCACAACTGAAAGTAACAAATACATTTCATTTGTGGCAGACATATTTGTTATAAATAAAGATTAACGATAAAAAATTGAAATGATTGATTTTTGACAGACCACATACACTCCCTGCTTCAACCATATTGTCATAACGTCTTATCTGCCTTGTCGGGTTTCATTTTTTCTCTTACTTTATTGCTTTGATTTAAACTTGTCACTGGAAACTCGTACTCCATCGGAATATTGATTTTGCGTACTTATAATAAATTCAAACATATTTCATTCAATAAATTAAATTAGGATTTTTACGCCCGTTATTTAGAGATACAATTCTCAGCAGAGAATGACCTTTACATGTGCAAGGACATTACCGTTTTAGTAAATTTTGCAGAGGGTACCGATTTGTTTTGCACCGTGATTCTACATTTTTTTTATTATCATTTAAGCAAGGGAAACATAAAAGTTACGTATTGTTTCGTGCCCTCAGTTTACATCATTTTTTCTCGAGAAGCATCATGAACTTTAATCCTTTAATTTGACGCCGCGTGCACGGGCGGCCAGTAGATATGCCTTCGTCCATTCAGCAATTGGGAAAGTTTTAGTCTTGCTTTTGTTTATTTATTTCTTTTTAACAAGATTGCATTGCTTTCAGA